TCCGCTCTACTGGCCTTTCAGATCTACAAAGACAAGCTCATTTCTGCTTTCACAGCTTTGCACCAGTTATTCCCTCTGCCTCAAATGCTCCACCCTCCGACCCTTGCATGGTGAACTCCTCCATGACATTCAGGTCTCAGCCACAGCCACTTTCTCCACATGGCTTTCCCTGATAACCTGACTTCCTTCAGACCCTCACACCTCACCCCGGCATCCACCAAGACCTCCAGGATAAGCTACTTGTGGATTTACAGATAAGCCTATTCCAGAAAATAACAAGACACACAACATACAACAGTTACACATTTGAAAATATTCTGAATTTACGAAACCATCAAATCCAGTTAAATACTTGTTGACCCTCTTCCATGGATAAGGCAGGGTGACAGTCTGAACCTTCTTAAGTAAAGCATCTCTGCCTCCTGGCCTGGGCATAATGACCCCAATAAACTCAGAAGCACTGCCAGGAATTTGGTAAGATGCTTTTTCTCTGCCTGTCACTACACTGAGTACATTTTACACACATAGTCCCTAGGGTGCAAAAATCCAAAGACTGGGATGTAGCTCAGTGATAGAGCACTTGCCTAGCACGTATAAGGCCTTGAGTTCAATCCCCAGTACTGTAAAACTATAAATGAAATTTTCTCTGTGCAAATACATCCAAGGGCTCACATGTGCCCTTGTGTGTCAGGGTGTGTGACTTGAGGGCTCCTCCCCAACAGGCTCCATGCGCTCTCTCTCTCCACACATCCTTGGAATACAGGTCTTCAACCATCTTTAAAATTGTTCTCATTGTTTCCTGCCTGAAAATCTCACTGCTCCATTTGTTCCACGTGGCCTCTAACAACCCCACTTTTGATATGTTCTCTCTCCATCTCCAAAGAGAACAGAATGTACTCAGCCACAATCGTCCTTAAATAGATACAATTTGAGACAGATTTGAAAAGCCAGAGATCACCTAGTTTCCTCTTGGCAGGTAGTGAACACATGGCTACTAGGTGACTAGCCCCTAGGGAGTAATGTCTGTAGCCAAAGAACAGAGAAAAGCTTTACCTACAGGGTTCTGTTTCCTTAAACAAAATGAACTAATTAGACAAAATGATCCCAAGGGTCCTTTCAAACCCTGAGAGGATCCCAACCACAGTCCTACTAGAAGAGAGCTTCAAGAAGCCCATCTAGGGACAAATCAACCCTCAACAAATTCTCAGGCAAAAGCCACTAACTTCAAATGACAAGGAGAAATACTTTGATTCACCCAAAACCAAGGTAAAAAGGTGATAAAACGTGACCACATCAGACTCCGCACTGAAACCAAACCAGGACTCATCTCAGTTCCAAAACCTACTCGGCAGTTGCTAAGGAAGATGTCACACCCAGGTCTTCAGCAATCCTTCTCCTCCAATTTTAGGTCTCATAGTGATAGCAAAGTCTGTCTCACTTATGTCTAAACAAATCAGAAAATTGTTTTTAAAATGGAGGCTGAGGAACTGGGGTTGTGGCTCAGCGGCAAAGTGCTCGTCTAGCACGTGCGAGGTCCTGGGTATGATCCTCAGTACCACATATAAAATACAGAAAATAAAGGTATTGTGTCCAACTACAACCAAGAAATAAGTGGATATTTTTTTTTAAATAAAATAAAATGGAAGCTGAGTGTGGTAGAGCACACCTGTCACCCTAGCTCCTCAGGAGGCTGAGGCAGGCAGATGGAAAGTTCAAGGCCAGCCTGAGCAACTTAATAAGACCCTGTCTCAAAATAAATTTTTTTAAAAAGGGCTGGGGACATACCTCAGTGGCAAAGTGCTTGTGTAGCATGAGCAAGACCTTGGGCAAGGGGAGGAAGAGAGAAAGAGAGAGAGGGAGAAAGAGAGAGGAAGGAAGGGAGGGAGGGAGGGAGGAAAAGAGAGGGAAATAAGTTAGCTAAGAATTCTTGCTGGGCATGGTGACACATGACTGTAATCCCAGGGGCTCGGGAGGCTGAGGCAGGAGGATCACAAGTTCAAGGCCAACCTCGGCAACTTAGCAAGGCCCTAAGCAACTTAGTGAGACCCTATCTCAAAATAAAATATTAGACAAAGGGTTGGGGATGTGGCTCAGTGGTTAAGCACCCTGGGTTCACTTCCCAGTATTAAAAAAAAAAAAAAAAAAGAATTCTTAAAAAGCAGCAAAGTTCAGCTTGGTGTTGTGGTGCATGCCTGTGATCCCAGCAACTCAGATGGCTGAGGGAGGAGGATGGTAAGTTCAAAGCCAGCCTCAACAACCTAGTGAGGTCCTCAGCAACTTAGTAAGACTCTAAAAAAATAAAAAGGGCTGTGAATGTGGCTCAGTGATAAAGTGCCCTGGGTTTCATCCCCAGCACAAAAAAGAAAGAGGAGGGGGACAGGGAGGAAAAGAGTGGAATGGAACAGAAAGCGGGGTGGCAGTAATGTTCACAGGCAGGAGAGCCATGGAAGACACCTATCACTGTCCCAATGTCTTTAGTCCTGGCCACATGGACTCTGACAATCCTAAATGTAGTCTTGGTTTTGTAGTCAGATCACTTCTGTCTGACACAGAGCACTCTGCAGAGGTGTTTTCCAGTTGCAGACAGTGGCAGCAGGTGGCCTCTCTCACGGAGTTTAGCTCAGCTCACCACGGGACAAAGCCTGGGAGTCACAGATGGCCAGTCAACTGTTCTGCCCTCTCCAGACAGCACTGTGCATGATCCCTTCTCCCAGCCTCCTTAGCCTGACTGCAATTCTGTTCAGGCTCAGTAAACAAGAAACACATTACACATGCCTCACACATGGGGTGAAGAAAGAGAGTGAATTCATGTTTCTTTGATGTATAACTTCAATTACTCACACAAGCTTATGTTTCACAGTGTAATAATGTTTCAATAAAGATGCCAGATAAATCCCTGCAAAATGACAATTCAAAATCCTGCTTCAAGTACAAATACATATTAAGTACTAACTTTCTTGCCACATGTAAAAACAAAGTGACTTGGACTATCATATCCAATGCCGTGCATGCACTGGATAAAAAGCCTGAGTAAGGTTAAGGAGCATTTTGATGAAGGAAGCCTTTGTCTGTATAAGAGACAAATCCAGAGACACCCCCAGGGATTGTAAAAACACGTTTGTTCACAAAAACAGACACTCTTACTTTATAAGTAATGTGAAATATTTTGGTTCATTTTAAGTAAGTCATAGGCCTTTCATACTTGTTTCAATTGCAGGATTAAACATGCAATGTGTGTACCTCCATTTTTAAAAAAGGCAGAGGAAAATGAGCTGTTCAATTTGGAGCCAGAACTTTTGGTTTTCAGTTTCTGTTCCAATGATAACCAACAAAGCTGTCTCGGGCTTAAGATCTCACACCTGAACTTTATCCTAGTACCAGCACCAATTTCATCCTACAGGTAAGGAAATTCACACCAATTTCCTGATCACTGTGAGATCCAGGCGAGAGCCTACCTTTGAAAACCTTTTACTAGCTGCTTCATGGTATCAGTGAGACTGTGATTCATTTTACCAGGAAAGGACCCTACTTTCCACGGTCCACACTTTAACATGGATCAGGAGCCTTAACACATTCACACCTGATAGAACAAGACAGATCTAGGATGATGGGTACATGGGATTCTGTCAGACTATTAAGTCTCTCTGCTTTTGTGTATGCTTGAAATTTCCCACAGTACAATTTTTAAAGTCTTTATAAATATTGATTCATTTTTTTACTCCCCTTCTCAAACTATACAATATCTTCATAATTCTATGATTTTTTCTGATTTTCCAATTTTACAACCCAGTTGACTGATAGCTTTCTCACTAGATTTGAGCAGTCCCTGGTAGGTCAATCTTAATGGAATGCCCCAAAGACAGACAAATAATTCAGAGGTCTCCTCTGGAAGTAGGAAGGGAAGTTAGGGATGTTCAACACTGAGCTGCATAGCCTTTTCTGTTGTCAGGAAGACAAATTTTTCTCTTTAACTGGTGCCACCATCAAGGCCATGAGGCCATGCTTTCAACCAGTCTCTGCATGTGCGGGAGGTTTCTGGTGTGGGCTTTAAAGCATTCCATCCTGAACTCCACCCTTACTCTGCATATAGAGTTGGATGTAGAAATCTTTTGTCCTCGTAGGTCCTCTGTCTTTTCTCCTCCATCGCTGCTGGACCAACGTCATTCTGATTCTTATTCCTTTTATCACCTCCCTCTTTCTTCAAAGGCTTTCAAAATCATATCACTTTTGTTTTTAAATTTCACAATATACTTTGGGTTGTTCTCTTTTCATTCCTTTTTCTGGGCAATTAGCATCTTCTTTCAAAATGAAGATTTATGTCTTTAAGTTTGGAAAATTTTCTTGTATTGTTTCCTTCATAATTTCCTTTCCTAAGTTTTCCCTATTCCCTCACTCAGGAACTCTTCTCAGTCTGATATTGAACCTTTAGGATTAATCCTCTAATCTCTTAACTTTCTATTATATGAAAACTTGCATTTTTGTTTTACTTTTCAACTACCTTTTTATTTATCTTACTTTCTAAGATTTCTTCAGTGTCATCTTCCAACTTCACCCCTCAAATTTATTTTAGCATATTTAAACTCCCAAGAGCTCTAATTATCTAATTATTCTTTTTCCATAACATCCTCTTCTTATTGAAGAGACATTTTATCTCCCTGAATTCTCAGAGTACACTAATAAGAATTTTTTGAGTGGAGATGTAGCTCAGTGGTAGAGTACTTGCCTAGCTTGTGCAAGGTCCCTGGTTCAATACCTTGCACTACAAAAGAAAATTTTCTCCCAAACTTTTTGTCTTCATTTAATTCACATAACTGGTTCACCAGGTTTTCTATTTATATGTCCCATGATGTCAGTCCACATACCTGTGACCTCCTAGGAAGAAGGAAATGTGTACCACATGCAAGCAGGCAACAATCCATTACTTTTTTTTTTTCCATTACTTCTTGATAACAACTATTACCGAGAAAGCACCTAAGTGCACAAGAAGCAAGCCAGCTTACCTTCATGGAGTCAGAGTATAAAATATATTCCCTGAGCACAGGTAGGAAGTCTTCTGTCATGTCATCCGTCAGCTCTTCCAAGGCTGTCGAGCAGTTTCCGATGCAGGCCGACACACCCTCCAGGGGCTCAGCCAGCTCACCTTCTAGTGCACTCCACGTGGAGTACACAGGCCCATATTCTCTCAGCTCCACAAGGTACTCTACAAGGGGCAGAGGACAGGACTAATTACAGTCTGGCTGGGTGGCCATCCCTCGTGATCACCACAGCCAAGAGCACTCTACATGATAATGTGTCTCCTTGGCCGTTCACCCACCTGAGCACACTCTCCTGTGAGCACAGCACTGTTTCCAATGTGACTTCTTAAAACCTCTGAAAACGGATGTTACCTGATGATATCAGGATATCCAGGCCTCTGTTAATGGGGACCACGATGCTTCATGGGGAAAACTGGAAAGAGCCACACCCCCAAACATCTTCAACTATAACCAGTTGCCTCCCCATACAGGGAAGCAGTATTTTAATAGACTTTCAGAAAGGTTCAGGGGGTGTTTAAGGAGGGGTGGACAACTCATTCACAAGGAAAAAACAATGGAATTTTAGAAAACATATTCCTAAAAGAGATGTGGTCTTCCATAAGTTGACTCACTCACTGTGGTCATCCCAACATCTTGTCCCATCAGATTCATGACCTTTAAGAATGGACAGTGCCCACAGCTATTTCTGTGGGCCCCACAGGGCATTACCTCTGGGTAAAGGAGGGGAGAGGCACCAAAAGGAAAAAAAAATGTTGTGTTCCCCACCGCCCCCCCACACCTGTCACCAGGATTCTTGTCAGGACATAAGAATGCTGTTGCCATTGTTTAATTACCAAGAATGGCAACTGATAAAGAATCTTTCCTGCCTGCTTCCTGTGTCAGCTTGATCATTAACCAGGAGGCTCAGAAGCGGTTGTTTGGCATGGGAAAAACAAACATTGAGATGCGGGACAAAGAATGGAGTATAAAATTATGCTCTAGTCACAACTAGCTCCTTTTCTCATATTTATTTGCTTGGTATCGGGTCTCAACAAAGAGCTCACCTATTTCTTCTTTGATGATCCGCTGGGCTATTCGATCGATGGTTCCCAGTTTGAGTGCAAAGGTGTCTAAGTATTCACCTACAGCTGCAAACTCAAGGGGCCGACTCCTCAGCTTGTAGCCTCCAGTGACATGCTTGACTGACTCGCCCACTCTGGTCAGCAGTGCCATCCCCTGCTTCTTGTAGGCATTCAGGTCCTAAGGACGACATGAACAAACACAAAGCACACCATCACGCACACGGCTGGGCTACGTAGGCCAGCTTCTCCAGGCAGCTTCTTTTTTGGAAATGGAAGACTAGGAAAACAAGGAGCTGAGATAGAGGACCTGGTCACATACACACGAGTGTCCCCTCCTTGACATCAGGACAACCACACTCAAATCCTGGTTGTACACAGAGTTATCCAGAGACCCCTGTCCACAGAGCTGGTCTCCAATCCCTGCAGTTATTTCACTCATCTGAGCACGCTGCCCTTCAAACATGGCACTGTTCTAACATGATTTTTAAAGTCTCAAATGACAACAACAACAAACACCCTATCTTGCCTTCATGAGCAAAACTGAAGAGCTGAGATTCTGCCATTCATCCCCCGCACTCGTGTAAACCCCAACTGAAGCCACCTAGGGAGAACAGAGAGCAGAGGGTGTAAGCAGGCAAGGTGAGCAGAGCACTGCTAGAAAACTCAGGCAAGGACCGATGCTGTCACAACACAACGCCTTAACCCTCAATTTTTGGTAGGTCAAGGTGAAAACAGGAAACTCATTGAGTCTTGGAACCCACTCTGGACAGGAGCTGTGTACACACCTTTAAGTCCTGAGTAAAGAGGTTCTGAACACTGCTGTGTAACTGGACCTTACCTCGGCTCGGATAAGAGAGGTGCAGCTCCAGGAGTGGGCGTCACTCGAAGGGGTTGGATTACACCCACTTGTTGCAACCCTCCCCCTTGCCTCATTTGAATGCCTTCTACCCAGTAAAACCGGGGTTCAAGGCGTGCTCCTCCTCTTTCTTGCCTGCCTTGCCCCTCCTTTTTGGATCTGTGGCTGAGAAGCGGTCACTGAACCCAAGAAGGTACTTTCTGTGTCTTATTTAGTCAACCAAAATTTATTTGGAGTGACCCTGACCAGTTTAGTCGTGTGGCATGACACACTGTATCTGAACTTTAAAAAGCACATGAGCTTGCCATGTGCTTCTTCCCATCACCAAACTCTAAGAGGGACAGACAGCATCTTCAGGCTGTGCTATGTCACTTAGCAGTGCCTTCAAAAACAGTTTTAAAGGAAATGGATGAGGAGTCTGTTTCTCACCACCATACCACCAGAAGCAATACTGAGCTAGGTTGGATCTGTTCTGTTTTAAAGGCACCTCTCCTGGATTCACTCATGTGAAGCTGGATTCTTACTGAGAAAAGGAAGGACCCTATACATTTTAAAAATCATTTTCATATTGCTTGGCCTACAGATAAACAGGCATATTCTCTCTCTCTCTCCTCTACCTCTACCTACCCCCCTCCCCTCCCCTGCCCCCCTCTCAACCCCCCCCCATACACACAATCTTTACCATCTTTTTGTCACACAAATTCTTAATGACCACAGGTCCAACCTACCCCACCCTTTCTCATTCATTCCATAAAGAAGGCAGTTTGAGGTCCTTTGGGGCACATGACCTGCAACATGGGTAAGAAAATGAACTACATTTTTGGAGAACGGGATGGACTTCACTTTGAGTACACCTTGAAAAAAACTATATCTGAGGATCAGTTCACCAGGAAACACATTTTTTAAAAGTGTACACGTTTGACCTGTGGCAGGCGGTGGGGGGCAGGGGGGCCTGGGGCGGATGGATGGGGAGGAAACAACAATAAATGAGATGCCATCGACAAGGATAAATGCCAACTGAGGTTAAAAAGCAAAACTAAACTGAAGGCCTCTGCCAAGTAGAGAGAGAGAATGAAGCCGTCACTAAAGTCTTAAATATCTACTGATGTATTCTCTACATATTTTACAATTTTGACAAAAAAAAATTGGACAGTATGTGCTCGTCAATACCCTTGCCAACAGGGAACATAATACACACAGCCTTCATATGAAAATCTGATACCTGAAACTAAACACAGCGGGCGGGGAAAGCCAGTGCGAGGTCCAAGCAAGTGCCCCACTCTGCAGAATCACCTCAGGTTCTCTTGGCCAGTTTTGCCAAAAGGGAAGGGCAGAGAAAAGCTGGTAACCAACCAACCTGAGTCTGGATATACAGTCTCGGGCCATATGTAGGACTCTAAGATTTCTCTGGTAAATGCTTGAATAATGCACACCTGATAAGAACAGGATTATGGTCAGGCAGTATGACACAGAGGGCAAGTGTGGCCTCAGGAGCCTCAAAGACCCAATTTCAGGTCCTAGTGATGTCACTTGACAAGTACAAATGCCCCGAACGTCAGTATCCTTATCTGTAAAATAAGGCTACAAGCAATTACACACAGGGTTCTTGTGCAGAATGCCCTTACCAAACACTTAATAAATATTCTCTCCCTTTTGTGCCCACTGTTGGTGAGACTGGCCTAATCCAGTAATATTGTTCCAGGAGAGCTTAAGTAAACATTTATCTCTGCTTCTGGCAAGTGAAAATATTCTGACTTCCACTGCTATTCCAAGGGGTTGTAGCTCAGTGGTAAAGCACCTGCTTAGCATGTGTGAGGCACTGGGTTCAATTCTCAGCACCACATATGAATAAATAAAATAAAGGTCCAAGAGGGAAAAGATCTGGTTTCACCCTAAATAGAAACCACGCTAATACCAACAGGCACCCCCATCCCCCAAAACCGAGCAATTTATAAAACCTACTACAAGGGCACATTCATGCAGGTGGCTTGTGAGAGATCAAAGCTGCTTTTAAGAAAGCACCTATGCAGCTGAGCGCAGTGGTGTACACCTGTAATCCCAATGGCTTGGGAGGCTGAGGCAGGAGGATTTTGAATTCAAAGCCAGCCCCAGCAACTCAGCAAGACCTTGTCTCTAAATAAAATATTTTAAAAAGTGCTGGGGATGTGTTCAGTGGTTAAGTACCCTGGATTCAATCCATGGATGAAAAAAAGAAAGAATGAAAGAAAGGAGGGAGGGAGGGAAGGAGGGAGGGAGGGAGGAAGGAAGGGTGAGCCTATGAATGACAATTTGGGGAAGGAATATACAAAACCGTGTCCTTACCTTAGCAGTAAGGAAAACATTAAAGTGTTCATTGAAAGACAGCACAGGGTGATCTGTGATTCTCTTTAGGAATTTATCCAAAGCTTTTCTTCTGGTCTCCACAAACTCTTCTGAAAAACGATCCACAACACCTTTCACCACAAACTTCTCAGGAAGTGGCTACGGAAACATGAAGAAAAATATCACAGTAATTGATGAGGCAGTACAGGGGAAAAACCACCAAGCTCGCAAATAATTCCTACCACCCATCTGTCCAAGAACAGCATTTCTGATCAGTTGGATCTTCATGTGGTCATTGATACAAAGATTTCTGAAAGGTAGATGGAGCAATCACAACTATCCTCTCAGTTTCATAACGCAAGGACTAAAACGCTGTAGAACAGCCCCTGAAATGCAGAGAAGTCCACATGGAGCTCACACCTGGGTAGAAGACTGGAAATGCAGCACTCGTCAGAGGTGCAGGCCACCCAGCCAGGTGTCCCAAACCAAAGCACCACGGGATCTGTCTTACTAAGGTACAGTTGTCCTTTAGGATAATTCCTTTATTCCAGTCAGTTCTTCTCCTGTTCCTACAGGCAGCCACTCTCATGCCCCAACTTTTTGTGCTAAGCAGATAACCAAAGTGGGAACCAGGTATGAGAGCAGCACATGGGAATTCCTGAGGAAATTCCTCAGGAAATTCAGCAGCAAATGGAAATTCCACAGAAAGCTGTCTACCCAGCACCACCCTCACTCTGCTTCTCCGGTGCCTGTGGACAGCACACCCTTCACCAAAGCTAATGTGTGTTTCATCTCTGTCCCTGACCTATCGGTTCCCCGAGATGCCCCTGTCACCCTCAATTAGTTATACCTTCTCTTCCCTGTATCTTCAACATCTCCTGCTCATCCAGCTTCATTCCTGGAGTCTAAAAAATATGGTTGGTTCTCTACCTGAAAAAAAAAAAAATCCAACCATCCCTTGACTTGACCTCTTCTCCACTCAACTTCCTGTCTCATTCCATCTTTTTGAAAAGAGCCACTTGATTTCCACTCTTTCCATTGATTTCTCAAGCCCCAACCTTCCCTCCAACCCAAAGAAAAGCCAGCTCTGGCACTGCACTGTCAAAACTGCATTTCTCTGCCCTCTCCACATCTGATGCAGAAACCACTCTTTCAGATGATCACAATGACTTTCTAGCCCCCCAATTATGTGGCCATTTTTCTGTTCTTATGTCAGGAGTCAGTCGGGCAAATTGTCTTTTGATTCTGCTGAACAGGACTTGGGAGGAAGACCTAAGGAGCACATAGTGGTAGGTTGTGCCTCATTTCACAAAACAAAGAGCCTCCTGAATTAGCCGTCCATTCTTAAGAGTTAGTACGATGATCTTACATCTATTGAACCAAGAGTTTATTATTTAAAGGAACACTAGGGTAAACAACTTCTTCAAATGATTTCCTTCTGTAATAAGTGTTATTATTCCCAAAAGTACATGGCTTTGGGAATTTGTCTGTCCTCATTTCAAACATCCTGAATGGGACACGCCAATTCTTAGCCTCATCTTTATTACTTTCTGGTTGTTTGTGCATAGGAACCTGGGCTATGGTGAAGTCAAGTGTGTCTGTAGTCTGTACGTGAGATCATGTGTTCAAGAGCTCAACACAGCTCCAAGCACTCAGGAGAGGCCTAACAAATGCTAGATGTGGTTGTTAAATTTGTGAACACTGAAAACAGAAGCAAAATGGGGAATAGGACACAGGGTAGAAATTCCATGGATCATTAAGGCTAAATTTTTTTTTAATCCAGGATACCATTTCATACCTACTAGGATGGTTATTAGAAAATAGGAAACAAGTGCAAGAAAACACATAGAAAAAATTGTATCCTTATACACTACTGGTGGGAATATAAAATAGTACAGCTGCCGCGGGAAACAGTTGGGCTGTTTCCCCCCCCCAAAAAAAAAAAAAAAAAATTAAGCATAGGCATAGAATTACCATATGATCCATTCCCTGGTGTGTAGCCAAGTTAGCAAAAAAAGAAAAAAAAAAAAAAAAAAGCGTTACACCAAAATCTTGTACAATGAATATTCCTAGCAGCATGAGTCATGATAGCTGGGCTGGGAGGGGGGCAATGGGGAGTGACTGCCAGTGGGCATGGGGTATCCTGAGGGTGATGACAATGTTCTGGGTTGAACAGTGGTGACAGTCATGCAACATGATGGCCTAAAAGCCACCCAACTACACACCATGAAATGGCTCAAGTGGTGGCCTTTATTAACAGAAGTAGATATGATGGTGGAATCAGACATCAGAGGGACAAGGGGAGGCTACACAGCTGGCCTTAAAGATGGAAAGAGGCCACAAGACAAGGAACTCAGGTGCCTCTAAGAGCTGGAAGAAGCAGGCACGGATCCTTCCCTAGAGCTTCAGATGGACACAGCCCTGGTCTGCACCTCAACATTAGCCCATGAGACTGCTCGTGGACTTTTTTGACCTCTAAAAAAAAATATGCGTTGTTTAGGCCACTTAAAAAAAATAGGACCTGGAGCAGGTTTCAGAAAGTGAAAAGAAATGAAGGAAGACAGGCCCTGACTGATAGACCGCCATGGTGGGGGCTCAATGCACCAAATCTATCTATGTTAGTGTATTTGTTATTTTTGCTAACAGAAAAGCTTTTAAAAACTAAATACATGTACAGATATGTGTTTGGAATCTACAACAAATAAATAAATCCTACTTGCAAAACATTACAGTTAAATCTTTCAAGCTTTAGCCTTGAAGTACTGATATTCCAAGAAAACTTCCAAGTGAAATACAATCACGTGTATTTGGAAAAAACACTTTTGACATATATTCTATACTAGTTTATAAAAGTGTTTTGCAACCTCTGAAATAAAAGCATATTTCCTACAGATTGTCACTGAAACACTATATTTCTGGTAAGAAATCTGGACAAATATTTTAGTTGTTCAATCTTTTTTTTTTCCTTCAAAATATGTACGTTTATTTATTATACTGACATTGCTTTACTACATATTACATAATTATAAAGCATTCACAAACATTATAAAAGGACAGTTGAAAGATACACATAAACAAATGCTTTAATGTTTTCATTCTGAACCTCTATGATTGTCTTGCAAAGCTTCACTGCTCAATCTTGAAATACCCAACTTTTTCTTGTCAGCATTTGAACTGTTTCTTCTATACAATCCAATACTTGGTGCACAGCCACTTCATGACACAAACCTATCCTTTCCTATGATTTTCAGTTTAGTAGAAAATACTGCTACCAGACAAAAATAACTCTTAAATAAATAAAGGAACATCAAGATTAAAAACCTTGACCCCATGAAGAATAATTGCCAAGCCTGGTTTAATTTAAACTACTTGAAAGTTCGATGAATGATTCACTACTTATTAACTTAGCTACTGGAAAAAAATAAAAGTATGTATATTTAACAGTACCAAAAGAAAAGAGAACTAGAAAATGAAGGTGTAGTTTTTATTGATCATTTCATATTAGGAAAAAGTCACTGAATTACAAATTTCTTCTCCTTAAGTCCTGTGAGTATTAACCTAAAAGAAAACTGAATGCAGAGAAAATGCAAACATATCCCTCCTATAAAGTGCCTTCATAAAAATGAAGAAAACTTCCAAGTGAAATTAAACAGTCAAGTGTTTACATTCACTTCATCTTCTGAATTTACGCCTGCCCATTTTATCATGCAGTCTCTCTGCTGCGTAACTAGCATTTGCACTGGCAAATGGAGCACGGTTAAAACCACTGAGCAAACACAGAACAAAACAACAGAACAGAGGTTCCAGGGAAAGAGGGGAAGGGGAAATGAGGAGTTTTTCAACTAGTGTAGAGTTGCTGTCATACAAGATGAACAAGGTCTAGACGCCTGCTATGAAATAATGATGCCTAAGAATAAAGTGGTGTTCTGCACTTAAAACCTTATCAAGAGGGAAGATCTAGTGTTGTGTTCTACACACACACACACGCACATGCACACAAGCAAAGGTACACGAGGAAATTCTGGAGGTGGTGGGTGTCTATTGCATAAGTGGTGATAGCATCATGGTGCACATATGCTCATGAAATTGTAGGCATTAAAGACACACATGGTTCTTTTGTGTGTACCAATTATACTTCAATAAAGCTTAAAGAAAACACTGAGGGAAAAACAGTAGCAATAAATACTTTTGGGTGGCTCCAACTGTTACATAATACAGAAAAACACAGTGAAGTGCTTTTACGAGACGACAACCATACTCACACACTTTGGTTTCAAGATGACATTTTAAGCACATATGGTTATTTCTTTGGCTTTTAAGAATCCTGAGGAACAAAGCAATATATATTTTTTAAAGTCACAGCACCGTAAAACACAGGGGCCGGAGGTGTAGCTCAGTAGTAGTCTGTATACTCAATACGCACAAGGCCCTGGGTTCAATCCCCAGCACCACATAAAGGGGAGAGGGAAGCTACTGTTCAACAGGACAGAATTTATTAAGATAAAGTAGAAAAGATTGGGTTGAGAGAAAGTCCAATCAATATAAACCATCTTGTAATTCTACTCAGGCAAAGGAAAGGCGGGTCTAGGAAGCAGAGAGTTGAGTTTCTCCAGCAGAGCTCCAAAGGTTACTAGGTTCAGAAGAACAGGGACTGCAAACAAGGGCAGCCTATGACAACCCACGGGGAAAGGCAAATCAAAGAACTCGGTGCCTCCCCAGAGCCTCCCTCTGGCTGGCTGTTGACCTACCAATTCACATGGCTTCAATGAAGCCCAGGTTTCAGAGTGGGGATTTTATCTTCACACTCCTAACCTGAGCAGCAGCACTGGCAAGCTCAGGCATGCTCAAACATTTCTAACCACAGCTGACTTGGGATGGCAGACACAAAACGTCAAACAAACCAGGAACCCACCACCACGCCCCTAAAGTTTCCCACGTGATTTAAAAAGTGGCTGAAGTTCCTCCCCCAAAATACGACTACTCAATAATAAAAAAGGCCAATTTTTAAGTGGGCAAAGGATCTGAATAGCTACTGCTCTAAGACACACAAATGTCCAACAAACCCTTGAAAAGATGCCCAACGTCATTAGCCATCAGGGAAATGCACATGAAAACCACAGTGAGACATCACCTTCCACTCAAAAGCATGAATACAACTAAAGACAGATGATCACCATTATGGATGAAGACGTGGAGAAACTGCAACTCCCATGAGCTGCATATGGGAATATAAAATGATATGCCACAGACTGGTAGTTCCTCAAAAAATTAAATACAGAATTACTTAGGATTTAGCAATTACATTCCTAGGTATCCACCCAAGAAAAACAAAACCATGTGGCCACAGAAAAAGTCTTACATCAATGTTCACGGTTGTAGTATTCATAATGGCCAAACAAGCAAAACAACTGAAATGTTCATCAAGGGTGAGTGGATAGACAAACACAGGGATGAAGCAGAAATAGATGCTGTAACATGCATGACCTTGAATACACAATGCTCAGTAAGAGAAAGAACCTGGTCACAAACAGTCACATAGTGCATCATTATCATCCCACTGATGTGAAATACCCAGAAAAGACAAATCTATAGAGACAAAAGCAGAGGTGAGGTTACTAGATGCTGGGGAGATAGAGGGTTTGGAATCAAGAGCTAAGCAGTTCAAAGTTTCTTTTGGAGGTGATGAAAATACTCTAAAGTTGATTTGCTGATGGTGGCAAAACTCTGAATATTATACTAAAAGCCTTTGAGTTGTAAATTTTAAATGAGGGAATGAATGGTATGATATATGAATTATAGACCAATAAAGCAGTTTGTATACACCAATAAAATTTCTGTAAAATGATATTTTTGTGGGAACAAAGTTTTGCTTCTGGTTTGACTTTAAAATTTAAATCAGAGATGCTCTCCTAAATTAAATCTCCTACTTCAGATATGTATTGAGAATTCATGAAGAAATTTAAGGTTCTGCAGGCTTCTATAGTATGTTCTTACTCACGGTTTCTACTCAGACTATAAGAAACCATACTTGGAGATGATCTGCATCCACCTGGGCATTCTGGAGAGTTCCATGGTGTCAAAAGCCTGTGCTTCATGCGTCAGGGTGGATGGATGAGTGCCACTATGTTCCACCAGTAGGTGTCGCTCTCTAGCCTTTGATCTCAAGCTCCACATGGTGAACGCAATAGATGCCAGGAGGGGGAACACACTGTGGGCCTCCCATAAAGGGCACTTCCATCCCCAGCCCAGGACAGAAAGGGAGAGAACAAGAGAACGTCAACAAGCGGCTCCTCCAGACAGGTGAGGCAGGTTAACCATAGAGATACCTACAACAGGAATGACGCTTTACCTCTGTGGTTTTCCTCTCCAGGACACATTACTCCAATCTAACCCCCCAAAAAGCACCTGAGACTAAGGTCAACTGAGGGACAGGCTACAGAATACCTCACCAGTACTCCTCAAAACCATCATCAAAAAAACAAGGAAAGCTTGAGAAACTGTCAAAACCAAAAAGAACCTGAGGAGACGTGACTAGGATATATAATGTGGTGTCTTGGGTGGGATCCTGGGACAGAAAAATGACACCAGGCAAAACTACTCTGAATCAAGTAGTTTTAGTTAATAATGTTCAAAAATAACAGTAATGATGATTGGTTCATAAATTGTGACAAATGTGTTATACTAATATAAAATATTAATAATGAGCAAAACTGGGTGTGAAATATATAAGAACTCTCTGCTACCTTCACAATAATTTTGTGATTCTTAAATTGTTCTGACATATAAAAAGTTTATTTTAAAAAATGATTCACTAGCTGCCAATTTTGCCAAGTTAAGATTCTAATTTAAGAAACAGCTCCAACTGTTTAAAAACAATCGTTCACTTTTCAGGCATGCTTTTAAGTGATGAGAAGATAGAAAAGGAAAACCTCAGGCTTGGAGAGCAGAGGGGACACCTGGTGGGAAAAGAGGAGATGCTCTGGGAAAGAACGGTCCCATCATTTGTACCCCAACCCTAGCAACAGGGCTTTTCCCACCTTCGAAGCTAAGAAATGGCCAGTATGTTCACAGCACGTACAACCAAGGGGGGGAAAGGTTGGAAGACACAATGGTAACAGGAAAATTGGTAGTGCTAAGAAGTTTTTCAAACAAGGACTTTGTTACAGGACAAATCAGTCTCTTTCCAAAGGGTTTTATGACCCAAACTGCCCAAAGACCTCCAAACCTCTAGGATCTAATTATTTCTACTTTTTATAAAGTACTTAATATGTCTATTGATGTGTGTGTGTGTGTGTGTGTGTGTGTTGCTGGGGATCAAATCCACAGTCTGGTGCATGCTAAGTGATTTGTTAGTCTTTGAAATTTCATTTGCTCTGGTTCTATAAAAAAGAAAAAAACGTGTAGGCGTAAGTTGATAAATGTTATGCTCCTTCAATAAATAGGGTTAGGTGGTTTTGTTTGTCTTTTAAATTTAAGAACTGTGGCTGGAATGAATTGTGTGGCAGATTCCTGCTCCCTGAGTTACCCATGTCCAAAGAAAGCCAGCCACAATCTAAGGCATCATTCTTCACCTGGTGGCAGCTATCCAAACTTCAAGAACAGTGGCCACTGAGGGGAGAGAGCCATCTGGGGGAGAGCTTATGCTATCAAGCTTTGACATTTAAAGAGGCAGCAAGTGAGAATTAGAGCTCTCCATTCCTCAAAAAAATTGCCATATTGAGAGTGAAAATCTACTCCACCCCGCCTGAGAAACTGGCATACTGTACAGCCAATCAGAAATCAAAATCTAAAAGGTGCAATACACTATCCAGTGTGTTTTACGTACATTTGATGGGGGAGTCTGGCAGAGACGTGGCTAAGTATACCCGGAATGGAAGGGGCAAGATCACTCAGGGAAAGTGAGAACAAGCTGTATTGACTTACTACCTACGGGAATGAGATGAGTGGGCTGGGATTCTTCCAGTTTGCTCCTCAACCAGTCAAAATCCTGGTATCTTCGGCGAACAGAATATTCTGGCAAGTCAAACTCTGCCCGAGTACTCTGCAAATAAGAAAATGGAAAAAAATAAGCATAAGGGAATAGAAGCATATCTTGGCTGGAGGGAAGGAAAAAAGCACTCTTAGGATAACCAAACTGGGAAAGAACACACGTTCCTTCCACCAGATGTGCCAGCCAAGTGGCGGAGTTTACCAACACAAAAGACCAGTCGAAGCCACAAATTCAAGGAGGCAGAATGAAAACGTCAGGTTTGGGGGGGTTTGTGTCTTTGTTTTTTCCTACCCTCAGGAAATGGAACTCAGAATTGTTTAGAACATTTGATTCATTTCCTCCACGCTTAACTCAGAATGTTCTTCACAGAATGATTCCACTTAGGATATTGCAACTATTTCCGAATCCGTGTAAAGAAATTAAGTCTCCACCTTCCAGTAAATATGCTGACAAGCTTTGCCAAAGGCAAAGGAAAGTAAAGGGTGGAGATAATGGATCACTGCTCGTTTAGGAGGCAGATTAGAGGAAAATAGAAAGGGTTTTGCTTAATCTGCCAGAACCATGACCTTCAAAGTATACTGTATTTTAGATGCATAAGAAAGTATCTAGGACATAATATAATACCACTGTACCAGATAAAAATATCAATAACTTTATCTCCTTTCCTGAATGTTTAGTTTTCTAAAACATGAAACAGCATTTTAAATAAGAAAACCAATGCTAAATAAAATTAAGTTGATTTACATCAAAACAACACTTTTACTCACTGATTAGAATCATGTCTCAGATAAGCCACTTTTCCCTAAGAGGGCACAGACAGTTACTGATCTCAGAAATTAAAGTACAAGATAAAAATGGCTCAAGCGACATTTTATAAATTCACTCCTTCAAGCCAAATTTCTGTTTTAATTCAAGACACCAAGAAAATCTTTAAAACACAAAAAGGAAGAGTCATCCAAAGAAATGGCTGTGAATGGTTTTGGCACTGAAAATTATGATCTCATCCTTCCCAAAAGTTGTGCTCACAGTCTGAGCAAAACCCTGAAAGTGCAGGACTCAGTCTTAGACTGTCTTTTCAAAGACCCAGATCAGCAAACACCCATGAAACACAACCTTCCCCCATGGTTGGGGACTTCAGGGGTGGGAAGATGTGGAGAAATTCATTCAGTTTAGCACTCTGTAAATTATTAGAAGACTCTCCCAAAGAATTGGAATCATAGAAGGCAGGGACGGGCAGCAATGCTTAAATCCACAGAACGAGTCACTCCTGATGAAGTTTCAGGTATGACATGACAGCAGTGAAGGGACAGGCCACTGGACACTCACCCTGAGGCACGGTGGGAAGAACTCTGCCTGGGAAGTGCCAGTACCCGCCAGATCCCAGAGGCACCAGCCGGCCTCCCTGAGCCTTAGTTTCCTCAATAGTAAGAAGATTGCTGAGAGAAGGCCTCTCACTGTGTCCACAGACAGGCTCCATCAGAGAACTTGATGATCATAGCCCATGAAAGGGACATTTTGAAAAGTGACAAATGAAAGCAACTCATTTTCATTATAAATGGGACTGATGGAGCCTGTGGCTTCTTCTTCTTCTTCTTTTTTTTCCAACTGCCCATTTCTCTTTATTATGTTTTTTAAATACATTTTAGAAATTATACTTTATGTAACATTTCTCCTCTATGAAATTAATATTTGATAACTTCAAGAAACAGCATACACAAGATTTGTTTTGCTTCAGCCAATTTCACATTTGGGGAACTGGGTTTTTTTCCTTTTTCCTTTCTATTTATTATTTATTCAGGCTATATATACTTACTTTAAAACATCAGGAGAAATAAGGTAAAGGCTCAGCCATAATCCCATTAGGGTTTGTATCTTTCCATATTTTTCTATGAACATTCATTTATTCACTCATTTTCTTTATCACTTTAATACATCTTAGATATCTCTCTGTGTCAGTAAGTTCAGATCTACATAACTATTTTTAATAGATATACAGTATTCCATTGAATGGCTATACAATTATTAAACCAAATTCCCATTCAAGTTGTTTCCAACATTTTCCCCCATATTTTTATTGGTGCATTACACTTGTACATAATAGGATTGTTACATATTCATGCATGTACACAATGTAACAATAATTTGGCCAATATCATTCCCCAGAATTTCTCCTTTCCCTCCCCTCTGTTTCCAACTTTCCAAACAATAAACAATGCTACAATAAACATCAATAGGCACCTATCTGATAATTCTACTAAAATAATTCCTAAAAACAGAATTGCTGGATGAAAGAGCATACATATTTTTAATCAACACACTGCTTCAAAAAATAAAGCAATTTATATTCTTATATTCAAATGCTTGCTGGCCATATACATTTCTTCTGTTGTCAAGGGTTCCCCACACCCCACCCCCCCCCCCCCCCCCCCCTTTTTTTTTGGTCAAGTCTTTTTCATTTGTATAAGCTCTTTATTGCAACTTGCCTTTCGTATTTCTAAATGGTTTTTTTGATAACAGAACTTTCAATTGTCACGAAGTAGATTTCCTGTGTCCCTTCCCCTTAAGACAGTTGCTTTGGTGTCATCAACCAGAAGGCCATCACACTGCAAGCTTATAAACATATTCACCTGTATCCTCTCCTTTGTGGTTTTCTTTTATATTTATGTCATTAAGCACTGTTATTACATTTCTAGGAATTTACTATTGGGAAAGATTTGTTGGGTTTTTTGATGTTGCTGTTGTTGTTTTTGTTTTTGTTTTTCTTTTGGTCAGGTGATGCTGGAGATTTATTCCAAAAGAAATTTACCATGCTACATCTCCAGCCTTTTATATTTTTTATTTTGAGACAGGGTCTCACTAAATCGCTGAGGTTCTCACTAAAATGTTAAAGCTGGCTTTGAACTTGCAATCCTTCTGTCTCAGCCTCCTGAGCTGCTGGGATTACAAACATGCACCATCATGCCTGGTTTGGAAAAGAAAGTTTTACTAGCAGGGAAGTTGGATGTGTTGGCATGTACTAGCTACTGGGGAGACTGAGGCTGGAGGATCACTTAAGCCCATGAGGAGATCAAGGCCACCCTGGGTAACACAACAAGGCTATAACAAAACAAACAAAAAATGTCCAGGGATGCCTAGAGATAACCAAAGAAGCATTCCTATAGAGTGATGATGTTAAGCTTCTAATGTAGAAAAATGAATATTCTTTACTATGAGAATTATACTGTTACTTATTCCTAGGTCCTGTCTCAAAAAAAAAAAAAAAAAAAAAAAGAGGTGGCATATATATCTGTATGATGATCTGCATTGCAATATCATTTCAAATCGCAAAGGAATCAAAGCAACCTATATGCACAACAATTCAAAAATACTATAAGAAAATTACAGTGTATTTATTCTATAGTTATCAGTAATTATGTTTTTTTTTTTTTAATTTTTTATTGTTGGCTGTTCAAAACATTACATAGTTCTTGATATATCATATTTCACAATTTGATTCAAGTGGGTTATGAGCTCCCATTTTTACCCCATATACAGATTGCAGAATCACATCAGTTACACATCCATTGATTTACATATTGCCATACTAGTGTCTGTTGTATTCTGCTGTCTTTCCTATCCTCTACTATCCCCCCTCCCCTCCCCTCCCCTCCCCTCCCCTCCCCTCTTCTCTCTCTGCCCCCTTTACTGACATTCGTTTGTCCCCCTTGTATTATTTTTCCCCTTCCCCTCACTTCCTCTTGTATGTACTTTTGTATACCTCTGAGGGTCTCCTTCCATTTCCATGCATTTTCCCTTCTCTCTCCCTTTCCCTCCCACCTCTCATCCCTGTTTAATGTTAATCTTCTTCTCATGCTCTTCGACCCTACTTTGTTCTCAGCTACTCTCCTTATATCAAAGAAGACATTTGACATTTGTTTTTTAGGGATTGGCTAGCTTCACTTAGCATAATCTGCTCTAATGCCATCCATTTCCCTGTAAATTCTATGATTTTGTCATTTTTTAATGCAGAGTAATACTCCATTGTGTATAAATGCCACATTTTTTTTATCCATTCATCCATTGAAGGGCATCTAGGTTGGTTCCACAGTCTAGCTATTGTGAATTGTGCTGCTATGAACATCGATGTAGCAGTGTCCCTGTAGCATGCTCTTTTTAGGTCTTTAGGGAATAGACCGAGAAGGGGAATAGCTGGGTCAAATGGTGGCTCCATTCCCAGCTTTCCAAGAAATCTCCATACTGCTTTCCAAATTGGCTGCACCAATTTGCAGTCCCACCAGCAATGTACAAGTGTACCCTTTTCCCCACATCCTCGCCAGCACTTGTTGTTGTTTGACTTCATAATGGCTGCCAATCTAACTGGAGTGAGATGGTATCTTAGGGTGGTTTTGATTTGCATTTCTCTGACTGCTAGAGATGGTGAGCATTTTTTCATGTACTTGTTGATTGACTGTATGTCCTCCTCTGAGAAGTGTCTGTTCAGGTCCTTGGCCCATTTGTTGATTGGGTTGTTTGTTCTCTTATTGTCTAATTTTTTGAGCTCTTTGTATACTCTGGATATTAGGGCTCTATCTGAAGTGTGAGGAGTAAAGATTTGTTCCCAGGATGTAGGCTCTCTATTTACCTCTCTTATTGTATCTTTTGCTGAGAAAAAACTTTTTAGTTTGAGTAAGTCCCATTTGTTGATTCTAGTTATTAACTTTTGTGCTATGGGTGTCCTATTGAGGAATTTGGAGCCCGACCCCACAGTATGTAGATCGTAGCCAACTTTTTCTTCTATCAGACGGCGCGTCTCTGATTTGATATCAAGCTCCTTGATCCATTTTGAATTAACTTTTGTGCATGGCGAGAGAAAGGGATTCAGTTTCATTTTGTTGCATATGGATTTCCAGTTTTCCCAGCACCATTTGTTGAAGATGCTATCCTTCCTCCATTGCATGCTTTTAGACCCTTTATCAAATATAAGATAGTTGTAGTTTTGTGGATTGGTTTCTGTGTCCTCTATTCTGTACCATTGGTCCACCCGCCTGTTTTGGTACCAGTACCATGCTGTT